GGGGGGGGGGGGGGGGGGGGGGGGGGGGGGGGGGGGAGCAGTCTCAGGAAGTCAGCCAGAAGTCAGTGGAGGAAGATGAGGGATGAGTGGGCTGGTGGGCTGAAGGGAGCAGCCTCCCCATACAGTTCTAGTTATAATGGACACCTCCAATCAAGCTCTTGACAGGCTGGCTGGCTCTCAGTCTCTCAACATGATGTCTCTCATCTCTGTTAGTTGGGGTCCACCCATTGACTCGTTGGGGTAGCTGCCAGGCTGACCTGGATTCTCCCTTTGCCCTTTCCAACCAAGAGGGACACTGCTCCCCAGTAGGGCTCCTGGCAGCAGAGCTGGGGATCCACCAGTGGGCGAATTATTCTGTTGGCTTCCTGTGGCCACTGAGGCCATGGTTACTCAAGAAAGGAGCTCTTTTCATTCTCCTTGCACCCTGGCCACTCTCCCCATGACTCACAGCCCTTCTGTAATAACTTGTGGCAGTTACCCTGGCAGAGAGGTAGCCAGAGCAGCCTGTAACATGGGATGCTGTGGTCAAGAGTGCAGAGACTGTGTCCTCTTGCATGCTTTCTTTTCTTGGGGACTGGGGCCATGAGAAGAAGCTGCTACATATTGGAAAAGCAATGCCAATAAAGTGACAATAGGCCTATGAGATGACTCAGTAGAAAAGGGTACTTGCCACCAAGCCTGTTGACCTAAGATTGATCCCTGGGACCCCATGATAGAAGGAAAAAGCTGACTAAGTGCAGTTTTCCCGTTCCACAGCCGCTCTCAAATAAACATTGAGGCTTATATTATAAATGCTCAGCCAATAGCTCAGGCTTATTACTAACTAGCTCTTACATTTTAAGTTAACCCATATTCCTTAGTTATGCCCTGTCATGCATTGGTATATTTATTAGCATGGCACAGTTATCTCCTGCTTCCTCTGTGGCTGGTGACTCCATACTCTGCTCTCCTTCCTCCCAGCATTTTCAGTTTGGCTTCCCTGCCTAACTTTATCCTGTCCAGTTATTGGCTAGTCAGCATCTTTATTAAACCAATCACAGCAGCATATATTTACACAGTGTACAGAAAGATTATTCCACAACAGTGGTTCATACACCACCCCCACAATAAACAGATAAATGTAACAACAGATACAAGAAAACAAAATGACTGTGCATTGAAACACACCATGGCCAGGCTTTATGCTAAAAGCTCTATGTGTATTTCCATTTAATCAACACAGGAGTCTGTCTTGCCGATGAATAGCACTTGCAAGACTCTGGCCCTGAGTCATGCTTTAATTTTCTTTAAAGCATGTAGTATCTGATACCATATTTTTAGCTGCATCCTTCCTCACCCAAAGATTATAAATTCCATGACAGCAAGAATACTATTAGTTCACCAGGAGTGGTAGCGCCCATTTGCGATCCCAAGAAGCTGTGGCAGAGGATTTTACGTTTGAAGTCAGTCTGGAAGAATAGTGAGGTCAAGGTTGGTCTAGGCTACATCACGGACACAGGTTTTTGTTTGTTTTAAGAAAATGCTATTGATTTGTCGGTCTTTATACTCTCACCTTCTAGAACAGTGTCTGCTCATCATAGGTGCACACTAATATTCATTAATTGTCCTTTAAATGGGTGGAGAAAATAAATCTCAGAGAGTTCAGCAATGGAGCCAAGGTGGAGTTAACAACCCACCACTCACCACATTTATCTGGAGATTAATATGTGAGATAATGCAGGTGTCAATGTTCTCTAAAGCCTGGCACAGTGCTTGGTAAGATGTAACTCACAGTTATTTGGGAGATCTTCCTTGGACCTGTTTCTTCCCCAGGCCCACTAATATTAAGAGTCCTTCCTAGTCAGGTATGGTGGTATATTCCTTTAATCCCAGCACTCAGAAAGCAAGACAGGTGGATCTCTGTAGGCCAACTTGGTCTACATAACAAGTCCCAGGCTTTCCAGGACTGTGTGGTGAGACCCTTTCTCAAAACGAAACAAAACAAGTCCTTCTTGTAGTTTATGGACCCTAAGCATATTGAAAACAGCGATATGGAAGACAGGGAGCCTAGAGACTCAGTGAGCGCTATCAGCGGCATGCTTACAGGTCTGCAAGCCAGAGAGCTGGCCTTTCACACATAAAAGATCCTTACCTAGCCACCTTCAAAGAGACTCAACTCAGCCTTTCAGAGCCAACCTAAGCCAGCTCACTGCTTCCCTCTCAAGCCCTGACCCTCCCAACGCTGCATCCTGGGAAGATCTTTCAGGTCAGGAGAACTCAGAGGTCCCTAAGTCTCCACGAGGGAAAGGTGTCTCCACACTGTGGAGGCTGAGCAGGCCCCAAGAGGGGCTGAAATGGTGTTGTCTTCTCAACCGTGCTCAGAGTCAGGCACCAGGTGACATGGAGGGAGACCCAGGAGAGCCCTGTGCGGTTAAAAGCCTATTGCTTTTCCTCTTGCAGATATTGATCTGCTTAGCTCTGCGCTGGGCTGTTTGCTCGCAGTTAATTTCAGTCAGCGCAAGGCTTGCATTTAACATCATCTCCCCGAATGCTCAGGGGCCTCCCTCCCAAGCCCGTGAAGACGGATCTGGTGTTTCCCTGCCGACCGGCCAAACTGTGACTTCAGGATCTTTTTCATTTAGGCTGGAGTTAAAGGCGAGCATTGAAGTCTGTGTTCTGTCGGGTGGCTGAATGGGGGCCAGGATGACTTTAAAAAGCAAGACAGAAACCAAACTAGCCTCCTTCCCAGTTCCTTGATCCTGGGAAAGAGGAAATGGTTCTGTTTAAATTCAGACGAAGTCCAGACCTGCCTCCCTTCAGACCATACGAGAATCGTATGCACCCCTTGGACCTGACTCTTGATTAGACTTGGCCATTAACTCCCTGTGTGAGTCTGGCCTTTCATTCCATCTCTGAACTGCTTCCTTCTGTTTTAAGTGGGGAACTTGAGTTGTATAATAATAACTAATATCTTTCTGGCACCTTAAGATTTATATAGTGCTCAAATCCACATTGACTGTTTGCTGTTGGTAAGCTGAGGGACTGGGGTGTGTGTGTGTGTGTGTGTGTGTGTGTGTGTGTGTGTGTGTGTGTGTTAGCCCAAGATGTCTTCCCTTCATCTTCAAGATAATTAAGCATTTGCTCCTAAACTGCTTCATGATGCACAGGCCTTACAGGCTTTCCCATGTCAAGTGTTTGTTGGCAGGACACGGGGACCATTGTCAAAGGCTTGTCTGTTTTGTTATCCGGTGGCTCTGTGAGCATTCCTCAGAAGGGACTGTGTGACTAGGGCCCGGCCCATCCTACGAAGGCTTAGGCAGGCTCTTTCCCTCCTTCCTATCTTTAAGGCTTTCCTCAGAGGACACACACCTGTGGAAACTGAAAAGCTCCTATATGCCCATCCCTTTAGAGGGCAGCAGCAGCATCTTCTCTGCCAGGAGAAAGCCCTTCCTGCTCTGCCACCTCTTTAGCCAACCAGAGCCAAGGCCCAGAGTCAGTCATCTGCTTGCCCCTCCTTGCTAGCCAGACACGAGCCAATCCCAGCCTCAAGTCACTACCAGTCAAACAAGAAAGTGCCAGAGGTGGGCCAATGGAAGGTTTAAAACCATTTTCACTGATTTTTTTTTTAATTGAACAACAATGAAAAAAGCAATATTTATGTCACTTAAACATTCCTGAGAAGACTTAGATGTTCTTTTAAAAATCATGTCAGCGCCAATGAAGAGTATAAGCCATCCTTAGTAAAAGCTTTGTGAAGCACACATAATCAGCCTGCGAAGCGTTGCTTTCCAGGCCTTCCCACGCGGCTCAGCATGTGAGCTACGCCCCATCTGTTGGCGTTGGTCTGAGAAGCTGGTCTGTGCTCTCTGATTTTGTTAAAATCCTATCTGACAAGCCACCTGATCTTTCCTGGCTGGTCTCCTCACTTCCAGGCTCTGGGCCTGTGGTCCTCTGCCACTGTGCATGGCTGACAGAAACGGAGATGGTTAATGAAAAATATGTTCAGCTCACACTTAATAAGGAGTGTTTTCTCTTGTTCTTGCCACTAGGTGCTGAAGATGTCTGTGTTTGGATTAAAACTTTGTCCCCTGCCATCTGGATGCCATTGATATGTCTCAGCTCGGTCGTGAGCTGGATGATATCAGTGGTTTCCATGTCAACAGATGACAGAGTTGTGTGTGGAGCTGTGTGACTGTGGTGCCCAGGAAGCTAGTCCCAGGGACACAGCTGTGCTCTCACACCTAGGTATCTCCCCTGATTCTCCACATCCCTGGGATGGTTTCAGTTTTGTGCCAGTTGCATTTACAGTGAAATTGGAGCACACAATCTTTGGTCGTTTAGGAAAGGAACAGTGGTACCTGTCACTGCGACAAAAGACATCTTCTCAAAGACACCTTTTTAAATCTCCACTTGGTAGGGAGCCTGTTACTCTCAAGTGTGGCACCCTGGATGTGAGGGCATAGACGGTATTTATTGATCCAAACTGTACCCCAGACTTCAAGGGCTTGCTAAGCAGCCTGTCTAAATATAGCATCAGCAACGGCGGCCGAGAGGCAGTGATGAAACCATTAAGGAGGAGAAATGCCTCTCAACTCCAGGCTCCAGTTTCCTGCGTCTGCTCCAAGATTAATAAAAAATAATCTAGTCTCAGAGTTTCCTGCTCTTGATTCAGAAGAGATCTCTGAGGAAGCATTTTCCCAGGAGGGGGATGGCAACCACACGTGTAGGGAAAACATACTGTGTGAACCCAGGACTCCACCTGACAGCCCCTTGTTTGCTTTCCCTTAGATCAAGAATGCCGCCGCCAACGTCCTGCGGGAAACATGGCTAATCTATAAACACACAAAGCTGCTAAAGAAGATTGACCACGCCAAAGTCAGGAAACATCAGAGGAAGTTCCTCCAAGCGATCCACCAGTGAGTACCAGAGCCGTGTGCTGTGTAGCCAAACTGAGTGTGGGATCCCACAGTTCAGCTGCATCTTCTCAGACCAGGGAGGTGCGGAAGAATCTGCTATGTTCTACTCAAAAAGCTCCCAGGCCAGGCTGTTCTGTCACTCACTGCCCTGTGAGGCAGCAGGCAGGCTGCTGTGGGAGGGTAAAGGTCAGAGCAAGGGCCTACGGGCTCTCATGCTACTCAGACACACATGCACACGTATGTGCAGACATACATACACACACACAGACACACATATACACACATATGCACAGACATACATGGACATACACACATATATACACACATAAAGACACATACACACATATGCATAGACACACATATATACACACACAGAGACACATATACACACACATAGAGACATATACACACATATACACAGATACACATATATACACACAGAGAGACACATACACACATATGCACAGACACACATGGACATACACACATGCACAGAGACACATGTACACACATGCACAGACACATATATACAGGCACATATACACATAGATGTATACACATATGCACAGAAACAAACACATATATACAGACTTGAGTGCCTCCACACGTGTGTGTGTTCATACACACACACATGCACACACACACACACACACTACAACTCCAGGGAGGAACCAGTGTTCCTTTTGTAACGGAGGAATAAGTTCTTTTAAGTATAGTGGCAAGCTGGGTATGGCAGTGCATGACTAATCCACAAAATCAAAAGGCTGAGGTCAGTTTGGGTTACAAATTGAGACCCTGCATCCCACCCCCAATAAATATATAAATGAATAAATAAACAGGGCAGAGAAAGCTAAGAAAAAAATTGTTCTGATCCAAAGGTTTGGGAAGGCTGGGTGGTCAGGAGACATTCGCGGTGGTAGAAGAACCCAGACAAAGGCATGGGAGCCGTGGAATGGCTTGAAAACAGCAAGGAAGGGAAAGCGACAAGGCAGTCTGGATGGAGTTTGCTTTCTGGGGCCCTGACAAGTCTAGTTGTGACAGCTGCTGCCTGTGCTCAAGGTCCCAGTGCTAAGTTCCGAGCTCAGGTGCCATGAAGGGCTGACGCTTACTGAGGACTTGAACTACCTGTTCCAACTCTTCTCCACAGACTGAGGGGTGTCAAGATGGAACAAAGGAAGCTGAGTGACCAAGCCAACACCCTGGTGGACCTTTCCAAGGTGAGTGGCATCCAGGACAGGCCTGGCTCATGTCCACAGAGCCAGTGCAGGGACAGGAAGGCAAAGACAGCTCTCTTTGATGGGCAAACACCCAGGCTCATGCTTTGCATCTGTAATCTACCCGTGTGTCCTGTCTTCAGCATTTGTTTCTATGTTAAGAAGCTCAGATTTGTCTTTGTCATAGCTCATTAGCTAACCCAGTTCTTGCTGGTATGTTTATTAGCTGTGCATGGCGGGGGGGGGGGGGGGGGGGCTTCTAAAGATGACTGAAGACATACAGGAAGCACGTTAGTGAGGACCAGATGGGACAAGGGCCCTACAGATGACCTGGTTATATAGACTTCAGATGATTCTTTTCAATTTATTGTTATAATAAAAATTCATTTTCCTGTGCCTTCTAATCCTGACAGCCCAGGTTTTCCTGCCTGACACAAATTGATTGTGTGTGTATGTGTATGCGCGCTCGTGCGTGTGTTTCACCACAGGCAGGCAGCTGACAGTGAACATGGAGGTTCTAAGAACCGAAGATCTTAAGGCTCAATATGGCACTGTGTTTCAGCGTTTCTTGTCTTTAGTGCCATAAGGAGCACAAAAGAGACTCTCTTCTTGAAAATCAGCACCATAGGGCTGAGCGTGGGCAATCTGACCAGGACTCCCACCCCCACCTCCATGCCTTCTCATAGAAATTATATAGCAAGTGCATAGCCCAGGGCCAGGCTGGCAGAACATTCCAGCAGATGTCAATTGTAATGGACCCTCATTCTCTGGGACAGCAAAGGAAACTCCCCCAGGCCAATTAGGCGCCCTTTGAAAAGAGCCTGCAAGCAGAAATTACTGGTTGCTGGGCCTTGTGCAGGCGCCTCTTTCTGGAGGGACCAAGGCCAAGAAAGGGGCCTCCTATGCCTGGGAGGACTTCAATCACAGCTGGGGAGACGCCCACAGACCCCCATGCCAGTGGGGGGGGGCATTCAGGTGGAATGTGGGGTTTCCCAGAGCCCAATGTGGGAGGAGGTGAATGGACCCCTGAAGTCTTGGACATGTTGGTTAATCCTCTAGATTCCAGTTACCAAAACTACTAGAAGTACATTGTAAACGGAACCATTTATTCCAAGGAGGTAAGGGATTCTCAGGAGACTTTCTCTCACACTAGCTCCTCTCTCCTGCTCAGGTGCTGTTCAAAGAGCCAGCTTCCCCACCCCACCCCCACTCCATCTCCCTGCAACCCAGGTCACCCTGGGTTTAACTGACTTTCTTTTGTTCTTAATTCTAAATTCAAGGGCAGTAGTGGCGCTGGCCTTTAATCCCAGCACTTGGAGGCAGAGGTGGGGGGGGGGATCTCTGTGAGTTCTGGGCCAGCCTGGTCTACAAGAGCTAGTTCCAGGGTAGGCTTCAAAGCTATAGAGAAATCCTGTCTTGAAAAACCAGAAAGAGCCGGGCGATGGTGGTGCACGCCTTTAATCCCAGCACTTGGGTGGCAGAGGCAGGCGGATCTCTGTGAGTTTGAGACCAGCCTGGTCTACAGAGCTAGTTCCAGGACAGGCTCCAAAGCCACAGAGAAACCCTGTCTCGAAAAACAAAAAACAAAAAACAAACAAACAAAAAAAAAAAAAAAAACAGAAAAAGAGAGAGAGGATATGATTGGATAGTGTGAGTCACGTGTCTGCCTTTAGACAAATCAGCTGTGGCTGGGAAGAAAAAACCAGCTAGGATCCATTCTGTGAGCCTTGGGTGTGGCTCAGTGAGATGCCCCAAGATATTTCTTCAAGGGCTAGACTAGCAATGTTTGCCGTCCTCCTCTCGCCAATAGGACACCCTGTGGCTGAGACTCCACCAGGAACGTCAGCAAACACAAGCTTTGCGTTCATCTTCCTGCACTGCTGCCCAGTCTCTCGCAGATGGACTGTCTGGTTGATGGGGTGAAGCAATGAGACACTGTGTGCAAGCATGAGTTTGAATGCCCAGCGCCCACACTGAGTCAGGCAGAGCTGCCTGTGCCTGTAACTTCAGCACTGGTTGGCAGAGAAAGTGAAGTCTGATGGCCAGTTCTCGCTTAGCCAAAGACAGCAGTTTCTGGTCTGATGAGAGGCCCTGTTTCAAGGGAATAAGGCAGAGAAGAATAGAGAAAGATATTCTACGTCCTCCTCTGGCTTCTACATGCTTGCATTGTGTACTGGCACCCACAGTGTCACATGTATCCAACACGCACACACACACATGCACCCACTCACGTGCACACTCACAGTGAGTTAGAAAGACACTCTCCTGTATTGCACTGGGAAATTGAGCCATATATAACTGGGGAGTGAAGTACATGGGAGTAAAGAATGTGCAGAGCCATCGTGAGGGACGTGCGTACTGAGGAGTGGCCTCTGACAGCCATCCACCTAGTCTTTGTCTTTTCCTCCCATGAGACCAGCCTAGATTCAGCAGCAATTGTGTGTGTTTCACGTCGGTCTCCATTTGCTCAGCATCCTGTCGTCAAGCACTGGCAAGAGAGGGAGAGCATGATGACGTCATGCCTGCTCCCTTCCCTTTGTATTTCAACTCCTGACTTCGTCTCCTCCCCACCTCTGTGCTTTGTTCCTCCCTAGATTAAGACTGTGGCCTCCTGCCAGGTGGCAGTGGTGGCACACGCCCTTAATCCCAGCCCTTGGGAGGCAGAGGCAGGCGGAGAGAGTTCAAAACCAGCCTGGTCTACAAGAGCTAGTCCTAGGACAGGCTCCAAAGCTACAGAGAAACCCTCCAAAGCTACAGAGAAACCCTGTCTTAAAAAAAAAAAAAAAAAAAAACACAAAGAACGTGGCCTCCCAACAGCATTTTCTGTATCAAACAGGCCCCATTTATGGTGACAGAGCAGAGAGGTCTTGGACCCCTCGCCCAGTTGCTTCGGTTTCTTCCATGGAGATGTAAAAACAACCCCCAGCATCTAAGATAGGAGCTGTAAACATACTTTGTGACCTGGGGAGGGGGTCCAATTATAAACACAGATAAGGAAACCAGACCCAAGGAGCAAGATGACCATCACCCAGTCACTGCAGTTCATCAGGGTGCTCCTGGCCCAGCTTGGGATGCGTGGTTCAGCCATTCTGGGGGGACCATGTCCAGTGACGAGGCACTTGTCTACTCAGGTCACCCTTTCTACCCTTTCTCTGAGGATGTCACCCTTTTCCTAGAGAGGAGCTGTCTCCATACCCACTCCTCCAGTATTCCAAGTGCAAGGGGTGGGGGCTCTCCTGCGTTTCCCTGTCTCCCTTTCTCCTCTCACCCTGCTTCCTGCTCCCTCTGGCCTCTGAGGTCACTGTGGTGTCCACATCCTCCTAGATCAGTGTTCTCAACCTTCCTAATGCTGTGACCTCTTAATACAGTTCCTGGTATTGTGGTAATCCCCAACCATAAGGTTACTTTATTGCTACTTTGTAACTGTAATTTTGCTACTGTTATGGATCATAATGTAAACATCTGGGATCACAACCCACAGGTTGAGAACTGCTATCCCAGCGTAATGACAGGTGAAATGAGATTAGGGTCCCACTGTGGGTCCCACAGGGACACAGTTCCCCTCCCCAGGGCACTGCCATCAGAACCCCTTTTTCTCACTCTGGGAGTGTGAGACTCCTCAATTTTACTCTCAAGTTTGAACCAGCACCCCTGGTGCATGTTGACTGGGTGTTGTATAGTCTGTGCAGCTGGCACAGGAAGCACAGGTGTCGTGCAGGGAGTTCTGCTAGCAAGTGGGACCAAAGAACACTGTGGATAGTGCCGGAGTAGGACACCATCAGGAGCACCCTCGAGGCACCGTTTGCTAGGCGTGTGGAAGGCAGGACTGCTCCGAGGAGTCAAGTGTGATCTAATCACCAAGACCTCAGCCAGGTGTCACGGGCCTTTACCTCCTCTCAGGCTCCTCAGCAGGGCAGCCCCTTCTGGTCCAGGATCATGCCTGAGGCATTAATTACATGTTATATTCTGATTGCTGGATAGAAAAGGGGATGGGGTGGGGTGGGGATGCAATCTCATAAACTATGTGTAGTTATTAACTTCCGTTTTATGAGGAGGTCGGGATAGGAGAGGTTAAGGGGCCTGCTAGTGAGCCAAAGGTTTGCAGCTTCAATCCTGACTTGTTAATTGTGAGTCTATGGCATTGGCCATCCCCATCTCAGTACCTTTTCTTGAGCCAGCCCTCTGTATGAATATGAGAGCCATTTAGAGCTGCATTCCACATAAGAAAAAAGAGGAATGTTTCTTTTCTTCCATGCATATGTACTGTTTCAAACTGATAATTGAGTTGAACGTGGTCACCCCTGTCTTTAATCTCAGCACTCAGGAGGCAGAGACAGATGGAGCTCTATGAGATCAAGGCCAGCCTGGTCTACATACTGAGTTCCAGGTCATCCAGGGTTACACAGTGAGACCCTCAATCAAAAGAACAAAACAAAACAAATTATAAAATTGATCATTGATACCCCACCCCTCTAAAAATACAAAAATAGTGCCCCTCAGCCTGCCCACCACCTGGAAAGTCCTAGAGTTGTCCTTTGGTGACATGGGACACAACTGGATGGAGGTGGCTTCTGCTGCAAAGAGGGCTTTTCACCTCTCCACGGCATATTCCTCCGTGGTGATGGTCTTCTTCTGTCTTCCACTCTGACTCCCCCAGATGCAGAAAGTCATGTACGACCTAATCACAGAGCTCAATGATCGGAGTGAAGACCTGGAGAAGCAGATCGGCAGCCTGGAAGCCAAGCTGGAGCACCTCACGGCCAGCTTCAACTCCCTGCCCCTACTCATCGCAGACACCCTGCGCCAGCAACAGCAGCAGCTGCTCACTGCCTTCGTGGAGGCCCGCGGCGTCAGTGTGGCGGTGGGAACTAGCCACGCACCTCCCTCTGACAGCCCGATCGGGATCAGCTCCACCTCCTTCCCAACCCCATACACAAGTTCAAGCAGTTGCTAAATAAAACTCCCCACTCCAGAAGCATTACCCATAGGTCTTAAGATGCAAATCAACTCTCTCCTGGTCGCTTTGCTATCAAGGAAGTTTCAGACCAGGGACGGAAGGAAGAGAAGTGGAGCTGATGAACTAATTCAAGTTCTTTCGGCGTGCTTGGTTCGATTTGCCTTGAAACCAGACGTCTAATCTTTGTTTAGGTGCCTCTACTTGGGAGCTGGAAGAGGAGGTGACTGGAAGCAACACCTCTGTCAGGGCCCTTGCTGCAGAGCTGGCGGAGGACAGAAATCCCTACTCAATCTCAGGTTTTCACAGGGAGGTGGGGAGGGGCAGCCACTCTGAGGCAGCTGAAAGTGAAGTCAGCCAAAGTGGGGTGCATTGGGCAAGGGTGGTATCAGGTTTGGGAAAGGAACTGCCTTGGGACCTTAGAGGTGTCTCTCCCATCCTTTTGTCCAAGGAAGCCCCTGGGTGGTAAAAGTAAAAAGAGAGCTGCCCAGAACTTTCCAAAATGGACATACCCAAAGTAGATTGGGGGAGGGGGGCATAGACAAATGAAAAGCCAGATTTTCCATCCAATAATACTATTGAACACACACACGCACACACACACACATGTTCCATCTAGGTCCTTTTTTCTTTGAGTTGAGCCCAATGAAAAGGACCTGGTTCCTTGCTGTGCACATGGTGAGGAAGGTCTAAATCTGCATTGAGACCAAGTGTGAGGTGTGTTTGGTAGAAGTTTGCAGGTACTGGCCACATTCTACGTCACTGAAGATTCGGGTCTCTCCTCCACAATGTCCTAGACGCACACCTTGCCTGATTCTAGTGTGTGCCATCCCCAAACTGTTGGCATTCTGGAGAGAGAAGCAGATGTCTAAAAATAACGGTTTCCCAGAGTTTTCTTCCGGCCAAATAAGCTGTGTCTGATGGGCCCTGCATTCTCAGTGTCTGTATGTGGGAGATGAGAGTGTGCCCGATGCCACCGTAGTGAACAGGACCGCTGTCCGGGCTTTGCTGAGGTATCATCACCCAGGTGTAGGATCGTGAAAGGGCCAGTTACTGAGTTGGGCGAAGGATGGAGAGTGTTCCTGTGGTGCCCTCTACCTCACCTGGACTCACCTCAAAATGAAACACTGTGAGAGCACAGGGAGCCCCAGGACGTGGGTAAATGAGGGGTTCATTTGTTAGAAGCCTGTTTCTGTTCTGTCGTGTTCGTTTTGCAGCAAAAACTACTCCAGTGAATCTCAAAGCTCATAGACTCCAGAACCATCTAGATCCAGGCTAGGAATAGGCGCTCGGTTTGCTTCACTGCCCCGTGGTCTGACCATACACAGCATCTGGGATGTGAGAACTGCCAGTTATCACTTCCCCACTCTGCGGTCCTTGATTTCTGCTTGTAAGAAGTTATGTATGGAGTAGTTCATCTGTCTTTGGTAGAACAAAAGGGTGTTATCTGTGTTTGGTTACTGTCTTGAGAATAGCCCTGTGAGCAGCTATTATGGCCACCCTGGAGGCACTGCCTTACTGTGTGGGTTTTTCTTGTGCAATGGTGGTCCTGGTCCTGTTAGGACAGGGATGGCTGGATATTAAGGTGGACAGCTATGGCGTGGAGGTCACTCGGTTTCTTTGCTTAGTCTCTTGTTCATCATACTGTCTTGCTGTCTTGTGCTTTGTTTTGCAGTGCTGGAGACCAGACCTGCGGTCTCATACATGCTAGGCAAGTGCGGTTCCCCTCACCCACACCCCAGCCTGCTGCTGTTGTCTTAATGGCCTATCTTCTTAATGGCCTATCTCCATCTCTCCCCTGAGCCTTTTCATTAGCTGTTTTGCACACCAGAGAGGCCACATTTGTCGTTAGTGTTTAATTCTTTCTACTTGTTCTTTTAATTATTAATTATCTGAAAGATTATTTTTATCCCAAGAATGGTATTGCTGTTTGCAGTTTAACCAAACCGACAGGCACGTATACAAACAGATGAGATGGCCTTGCGCCCCACACCCCCCCCTCCCCCCCCCCCCCCCCCCCCCCCCCCCCCCCCCCCCCCCCCCCCCCCCCCCCCCCCACCCCGCCCCCCCCCCCCCCCCCCCCCCCCCCCCCCCCCCCCCCCCCCACAGCATTGGTTGCATTTTGCAGAATGACGGCTCCTGATGGGCCCACTTCCTGCTCATTTGGCCTAGAGCCCTGGACTGGTTTTCTCTGCTCTCCCCTTGCATCCTGCTGTGATCTTGTTCAGGGTGGGCACGCATGGCACAGCTCGAGATTAGCCTCCACTTCACAAATGACTTGCGAGATTCCACTGCCTCTGCTGCCTTGTGTCCATCCTGGTCTGGACGTCATCTGAAATCTGTCTCTTTGTTGATTTTCTTGCTAAGTAAACCCTGGAGACTAAGCTGGCAATGCTAATCCAGAGAATGGCTGGAGTTGTTTCCAGGAGGGTACCACTAGCATCGGAGAGACATGTGGGCGTATTTGTAGGGTAGCCTGGCCTACTGGAAGTGCAATAACTGTGTATGGTTTTATCTCTAGCGAAAGAATATACCTCGTGAAAAGTGACAGGAATCTGAAGGTTGGTTCTGCAATGACAAATGAACTTCCGCTTCTGTCCTAGTATTTCAGCTCGACATGGGAAGTAACACTTCTCTTGCAAATACAATCAGCCCTCCATGGCCTAGGTATTGGGGATCCTGGTTATAGCTCATGCAGATATGTTCCTCCATCTTTCGGCTGATCCCACATCACCTGAGTATCTCCGACAGTAGGAAAGGAGGCTAACAGACCCTATGGCTGTATGTTAGTGGGACAAGTTTGAGTCTCAAGAGTGGGCTGCATATTCAAACCATGAATTACTGTAATGTTACTCTAGCCCTGAACTGGTCGAATTCCACCCACTCCTGGAAGGCTTGCCAATGGCAGAGGCCTTCCTGCCATCCTTCAGGAATGCAGTAGCATATGGAAGCACTCCAATATTTCCCCAAATATCTGGACACTTGAATTAAAAACCTAGAGCCACCCTCTCATCGCTTAAGCCATATTATAGCTTCATGTACTGTGAAGTCAGGGATGTACTGTGATACTCCAGGACCACTGAGCTCAGAGGGATTTGGGACATAGCATCAGCTGGTCATTTACACCCGGCTAGAAGCCCATTCCTTCTTAGATTGAAGTCCAAATAAAAATCCGCACCTTTGGCTCAAAGGCCACGCATGCAATCATTATCACTAAATTGTCATGAAGTGTCTGAGAGCCATTTTTACCACCTTCATAATGTCTAACTCCATGACATCATGTCTTGATATGATCCAAAAGATTACGAGGGGCATAGCCATGAGTCACCAGCGACTGTGACCCCAGTAGGGTCCAGCGCTGTATGTAACAACAATCTTGTAAATTAGATGTAGAAACTGTACATGAAACTTAGTTCTCAAGTGCTTAGCAAGTTATTAAAGGCCAAGAAAGGGCATTGAAAAATGATGATTTTTAATATATTTAGAGATCTTCCCCTTCACTTTGCAGTAATCTCCTTACAAAGAAGTCATGGGAAGAAGAAAACTGGGGATACATACAAAATCAGAATAGAGAAAACGTTGAGACTGGAGTCGCATATCTGGCCAGTATGTCTTGGCTAGTGTGTGTTTCAAGGTGAAGATGAGCTGATAATTCAGTTCAAAGTATTTGGTAAAGGACAGATGAGACCACTGCTGTCAGCACAGCAGTACTGACCGCTAACCCACACTTGGATGTTATATCTGAGCGTAGGGAAAGTTACCAAAAAGGAATCAGATAGAGAGTAAAGTCAACAGGGCAAAATATGGGGTGTGTGCATAGTTCTGGAAGCCCCCCTCCTCCAGAGTGTGACAAACAGTGAACCCAAAGCTAGTCAGTGTTTCATCTCCAAACAGACAGCCAGGCTGCTGCTGGAGACGCCCAGCAGCGACCCTGTGACGTCACTGCCCTTCCTCAGCTACTGCTCTGACATGCTCAAACAGGCCCCTTCTCATGCAGCCACTCCACTGCCCCAAACTTCTAGACGCAGATTAAGGATCCATTCGTGGTCATTTTGCTGTCCCTGTTGGCTCCATGGCCTCTGGTTTCAGTCCCTTAGACAGCGATCTGCAGGCTTCCTGGCAGCCATGAACAGTCCCTTCTCTACCCTTCAGTCAGTTGACTTGATCATGCCTTGGGTAGCATCCCTTCCTTCTCTACTACTGCCAAAGCAAACATCTGGGGAATGGGATTGTAGCTAGCCCTAAGACGGGGAGCGGAGGGGTAGCAATAGTGTCCGCCTGTGGTAGCAGGAGGCTTTCGCAAGGCTGCATGAATAGCCACTGACAGTTAACCCTGGCAGACAAAGAATACATAGATTTTTATTGAATTAGGCCACATCTTATGAACAAGTGCCCTGTGCCGCAGCCAATAGACAACCACAGAGGGGACCGTAACTACGATCTTTTTGTCTTACGCCCTTACTGGAAGCACTCAAACATGAACTGGAGTTCCCTCTGAACAACATGTCAAATCTTCAACAGACCACCTCCAAACCAGGTGCCATACGCCTTGCCACAGTTGTTTACACACCGAGAAATGTGTTCTGGAAGCTGTGACCTCGGGCCTGGACTGAAAAGGGACCTTGTGACCAATCAAGCTGGTGGAGGAAAAAGCACAAACTTCAATACCAACCTCTAGTCAAGATCCCAAAGAAATGCTGACATTTCTGGAAAAATAAATAAATAAAATAAAAAATAAATAGGAACAGTGGCAAATAAAAAACACAACCAAATCTGACGGAGCAGCCTACATCCAGCTTCCCGGAGCGAGGACGGGGCTAAACACCATTCTCCAGCGGTATCAGTTTTTGGATCCCGACCAGGGCTGATCCACCTTCATCATACGTGGAGTTTAAATGGCGCAATGACGTGACGGATTTAGTCCCAGACTCTCCATTCTGTGCTGGCCACACGAGAACAAAAGCGAGCGATAGGATGTTGATGGAGGAGCCATTTTCATAGCAAACTCAGAAATGGAAGTGTTTATATTCCAAACTAGACGGGCTTCAGTATGAATTTGCATCTTGCCTCTGTACTGCTTGCTATTTTTTAACGATAGGAGAAAGCATAACAGTTTATTTTAAATATGAAATATATTGCTATATTATGAAATATATTGTAACTTTCGATTAACATTTTGTATCGAGCTAGTCTTTAGCAGGCTGAGTGACAGCCTGCTTTCCTAACGACTGTTTCTGAGTACACATCGCTCTTAGTGGTTGCCTGACCCCCAGGCCCAGGTCCTGGTTCCACAGCGTGCCAGACGGCCATATCCTCATTCTCCAAGACTAAGTGAGTAGTAGAGATGAAAATAGCCCTGACATGAACTTAGAAGAATCATTCTACCCCCAGTTCTACCAAGCCATTTCAGAAGTGATGTTTAAACCATCACCCCTTCAGGAGCTGTCAGCCAGTTTAGTACTGGCGTAGACTCTTTCCATCTAAATGCAAAGGGCCCATTCTGTACATTATTGCCTCGGGCACAGCCAACCAGCTTTCCTCTGGCAATATCAGAATTAGGCATTAAAAAACAGTCTTGTTTACTTTGCCTCAAAATACTCAAAATTCTTAGCGTTGAGTTTTTCAGTATAAGAGGGCAACCAAGATTAGAATTCTCTGCAGGCAGGACCCAGTGAGAAGTGAATGTGCCCTTCTCTGAGTTGCAGTCTCTCTGGGGGATCAAGGTTTCTGCAGTTTGTCATTGGTGCCTGAGGAGGAGACCCACAGAAAGCTGGCTTCCTTGTCTGCTCTTTACTCTCACTGGGAGGAGGTAGGCCTGACCACCGCATTTCCCCTAAGTGGCTCACGAAACCCATTCCCTCCTCACCACAGCACCTGAGACACACGTAGAGTTTCAGAGTTCCTTCCTTTGAATTGCCATGGTCTTATCCTGTACCATAGTGGATGAAGGAAGTCTTCCATAAGTCCACACGTCTCCCGTGAGGACCTTGCTTCTGGCCATCACTCCTACAGAACACTGGACAGGTGCAGACCAAGTAGCATCAGGGGAGAGCTACCTGCCTGCCTCTTCCCTTCACCAACTCTAGAAACGCACGCAGATTCACAGAGCATGCAAGACCATAGGTGCTGCCCTGGACAAGAATCTAGAAATCTCCAAGTCTCCCTGAATTTCAGCCTAGATAGGGCTCGGGCCTCCACGGCATCTGTTAGTCATGCCCAATGGCAGGCAAGTATCTAAATGCCCGGTACCAATCGGCTGGGGAAGCCAGGGCTATCTGTGTGCGCAGGTCGTGTTTCTTTCTCTCCGCATCTGCACTGCTCCTCAGTTATCTGCTAGGCTGAGCTTCATTAAAGCCATCAGAACTCCAGGGCACCTGTTTTTAGCACATTTCTTACTCACTGGGCAATGGAAATGAGCTAACTCTCAATTCGGTAATTGACTGAGAGACATTGATTTATTTCTTTATACATCTCCTGCTCAAAACTGGAGCTGTTTTGACTTTTCCGCCTAGTACTTTGTAGACCAGCTACGATGTTTACATGTATAGAGAACATGTATATTCTTCTGACCTTTGCCATCGATGCAGTAACTCATCCACAGTCAAGGATACGAACCTAAATTCCAGATCTCGAGGAAGCAGGCTCTGGGCAATAATTCATGTGCATAGCCATATACTGATCCTTGCTACTCCCGGTAAAAGCCAGAGACTGACAGCGTTCACATCCCCTTAAGCCCTTAGACTCAGATCCACAGGCCCCATGCCGAGCCCACTCAATCACAACTGGCATTTCAACCAGAGCCCCTGGAGATCTGTATGCAGTCAACACGGAGAAGGGCCGGCCTCACCACACTGCAATGGTAATCAATAATTCAGAAATTCTGCTATTTCTTTCGCAGGCCTCAGTTACCAAATTGTTTGGTAATGGACAGGTCTTACATGATTGTAAGGATAAAGATGCGTGCATCTTAAAATTTCATTTGCTGTTGCACAGCCTAATGATAGGCATGGACCGTACTATCAGGAGGAGTGGCCTTTCTTGAGTGTGATGTGAAAATCACTCAAGTCACAGCATCGAGCCCCCTCAGAGCCCCCTCTGAGCCTATGCGAGTGGCCGTCGGAGGATAAGGTGGAGCCAGGACAAGTCCCTGGATAGAAGGCGCCTGGGTTTCTCCCAGTGCAGCATTGGGCATCTCTGGTCCCTTGTCCCTCCATGAAGAAGGCAGCCTTCCCAGTGAGGACTCTCCTCCTAGGGACTAGAAAAAGAACTCAGTCCAGCCATTCAGACACAGTCCGAATCTCCTAAGGCTATTCTTCTGTTCGTCGCATCAGGCCGGGTGGGCAAGGAAAGATGTGAGTTCTGATATTGGCACCCTAAATTGATATGTACCCAGAAACAGTTATGTTCTAAATTAATGGCTTTAACCTGTTCATTGTAAAAAGTGCCTTGGACTTCAATCTAAAAGAGGTCAGTATAAATATCTATGTGTGTGTGATGTGTATGTAGGCAAATATTTACATATTTATACATACATAGGTGCACACACATATACCTGCACATTCATATATAATATATACATACATATATAAATGCTTCATAATATATCATATTGCTATTCACAGCTTCATATTTTGTTTGGTCCTATGTTTATTTGTTTAGTGAGATCTTTACATAGAAAGGTTCTATTCAGGAAATGGATGTATTTTTTGTTTGTTTTTTACTTTTTATTAAAAAGGTAAAGAATATTAAAAGACAAAAAAAGCAAAGTGCCTGAAAGTTTTAAATGGAGTTGTGGTAAACTTTCACAAGTCACCAAAGAAGAAATTAAGTTCTATTTGAGAAATATTTTTCTGTTTCAGCGACTTTGTTCTTCTTGAGGGAAACGCACAAAGAAGAAAGTGTGAACTGCCTTTAAAGCCCATTAGAACCACAGCCCATGGTCTCTAAGGCAACACTAAGGTTTTTGTTCAGTTGGGTACCTACCTTTTCACACGTCTGAGTCAGAATCTTGTCCTCACACAGCAGCATGGTTTGGCTGGCCTTGTCCTTTGTGTCCCTTCTGAGAAGAGACAGACTCTCTTGGGGACAGGGCTCCATGGTAGCTGTTGCTTCTGTGCAGTGACACCTTGGGTGAAGGTTAGTGGGAGCCCCTCCTCCTAGCAAGTGGCGGAAGGGCCCTAACAAACCCGCTGGTGCTCCCTGGGCCCTCCTTTCTACAGACGCCCAGCCCCCCTGCCTGAGCCGCGGCTGCCTCTTTGAATGATGGGATCAAAAGCTCCAGAGGGATTTTCTGGTTCCCAGGGCCCTGCTCACAAGCTGAAGGATGCATTATGCGCTTCTTCAAACCAATTAAATCTGTCTAGCAGGCTGTGACAACACCTAGGCAACCCCAGGACCCTGCCAGAGTCCAGGTCCTGCAGTCACAAGGGTAATGTGCCTCTTTGAAATTCCGTTGTTGTCATAGGCAGCCATATGCACAGGGTGTTAACAGGAAGACCCTGCTGTGCATCTGGGAACCAAAAACCCACCAGGTCCAGCATCTCCAGACTGCAGGCACACGGGGGAATCACCGCTAGGCAGGTCCAGTTGCCAGAGATGCACTGGAAACAGAGTTTCCGAGCTGATTCCCCAAGCCCTCAGTTTCCTTCCTGTGAACTTTTCAGAGCTCTAGATTAAAAACTTAGCATCATCATCTGACTTAGGTGCTTTTATGCAGAGGACTTGATATTTGGGACTTTTTCTAGGTTTTTGACCAAAAGGTTTTTCAAAAACTCACCTAGCTCTATTTCCGTCACTGCTCATTGCCGAGAGTTCTCTTCTAAAGACTCCTGAGCAGATGTGTTTTCTGACTCTGTGGTTACTCAGCAGTCTCGTTTATGCTCACAGACAGTAGCACTTTCGTTTAAGGACCTCAGAAGTCAGTAAACTGTCACCCTGGGAGAGAGGGTGTCAAATATTATACCCATTATCCTGGTGGGAAAACGAGGCACAGACAATTGAGCAGGAAGGGACTCGAGGTAAGAGTCAAATGGACTGGGCGACCTTGACACCCGATGGTGCCGAACCAGAAGCTGCTTCCGTGTGGCTAGCAGTGGGTGAGCCCCTGGATTCGTGCTAACCAGCTGAGGGCATCAGACTGCTAGTGAGGGTCGTTTAGTAAGTCGGCGGATCTGGCGGAGACTACATTTTCTTCTCTGCAAAGGGGATGGGAGTGTGGCATGGAAGGGGCTCAGTCCGTGGCCTTCCTCACTCCTGCATGGAGACTGAAGAGCATGTGTGTTCACATGCTGTGGCATGTCCCGGTGTGATATGACAGCATTATGCACTTCTTCAAACCAATTTTGAAGTTTGTTGTGACTAAACAAGAGGGCACAACACACGCGAACCCTAAAACGAAGCAGCTCTTCCTCTTTCATCTCTTTCCTTCCTCGGTTTTCCCCCCCATTTTTTATAGACCACTTGAGCTTAACGCTCCTCAGCCTCCAGAGGGCTCCAGTCACAGGTATGAGCCACTGTGTCCAGCATTGACAGGATAATTTAAAATCATCTGTAGGGGTGTGATGTGTGTATGTATATGTTCATATGTGTGGGCACATGTGTGCGTGTGAACGGGGAGGTTTGAGGCGGATGCCCACAGACTTCTCAGTCTCTCTCCACACTGTCTGTTCACTGAGGCAGGGTCTCCCCACTGAACTCAGAACTCACCGTTTCAGTTAGTCTGGCTAGCTGGCTTTCTCGAAGGGTCCCGTCTGCATCTTCCAACAGCACTGCAATTCTAAGTGCGTGCCAAGCCCACCCGGCATTTATGTGTGCGCTGGGTATCTGAACTCTGGCAGCCAGCTTGTCTGGCGGCACTTGACCCACTGAGCCCCCTTCTCAGCCTTTTAAGCAGGAATTTTAAAGGAGGAATTTTCAACTTAGCTGAGAAGGGAGGAAGGGAGGGAGGAAGAAGAAAGGGAAGAAGAAAAGCAAGCTCTGGAAAATTGCTTTTTACAGCAAGACCAAGGCTGCCCTGACTAATAGCAGTGCTGACCCAGTTCATCCCCATGGGGCTTCAGTCTAGCCCAGCTGCCCACCAGGGGCAAACCTGCATCTATGTTCAGATAAAGCCCCAGGCAGTGGCTCCATCAGTCTGAGCAGAGACAAGCACCCTCCTGCATTGGGCCCCTTAGTCCTGTAGATGCAACAGGACATCCAGGGTAGCTCTTGGGTCCCGCGGGTGCTTCTAAGGGTCAGCTGGCTTGAGATTGGCTGTATGAGAACAAACTGGGTACCTACTTGTGCCCAGCCTGGCCCCAAGGTCCCCAACTTTGCTTTCATCCAGTTGGAGCCTGGGAGGAGAGGGCTATGGAGGGGGGCAAGGAAGCTTGCTATAAAGATGGTGGGGTGATCACAGCTTGATCCTTTTCTTTAATTCTGGGCCCATAAGCTTGCGCTGATTTGCATTCAGGCGCTGCTTGCACAGGCATACAATGCCACCAGGTTATTCCAGCTCAGTGGCTCTCTGTCTAGCTGCTTGGCTTCTGCCGGCAAAGCCAGTTTGGACATCATGTCTGTCTTTGGCCTTTCCTCTGGGTGAGGGTGGGGAAAACAGTTGACAATAACACGCTGTCCTTGCTGGCAAGTATGTCACTGAATGTAACCCATTCATTTATCTTTTCAAAACTGCATCCAACCATAAATAAAATTCCATCTCTTACGCTTAAAAAAGCCGTTATTATATTACATATAACTCAGTGCTGGAAAAACAGAGCATTAGAATGCAAAGGTGGCCCCAGTTCTTCAAAACAGACAACTCTACTAATTGTAGAATCCAAGGGGTCGTGAGTAACAGTGACTCCTGCAGTCCAGTAGGACTAGAACAGTTTGCAAGAAGAGAAACAGGGCCCCAACATCCACAAAAGGACCCATTTATATGGCTGTCAAAAGCAGAGAAGGGAGAGGGTGCTAAAGAGGTGGTTCAGTAGGGAGGAGCACTGGTTGCTCTTGCTGACACCCTGCTTCAGTTCCCAGCACCCACATAGTAACTCACAACCATCTGTATTGTAAGTCCAGTCCCAGGGGATCCAGCACCCTCCTCTGGTCTCTGGGCACCAGGCACATACATGGTTCACATACATAGACACAGGCAAAACATTCATGCCCATAAAGAAAATAAGCCACAAGGTGCTGGGCCTGAAGTTTGGGTGCTGATGAGAACAGGCTGCCCATCCATCTAGCTCACAGCCCTTGCTACGTGTACTGGTTTCTTGTCTTGTTGCTATAACAACATACTTGACAAGCTTGGGGAAGGAAGGGCTTACTTTGACTCATGGTTTGAGAGCACAGCCTATCAAAGTAGGAAAGGCGGGACCTTGAGCTGCTGGCCAGCCACTGTACCCACAGTCAGGAAGCAGAAGTGATGGATGATGATGCTGAGCTCACTTTCCCCTTCCATTCAGTCCAGAAGCCCCGCCAATGTTAGAATGGCTCTGCCTGCTCCTCAGTAAAACCTCTTTTGAAACTCCTTCAACAGACATCTCGTAAGTCTGTAACCTACACAATTCTAAATCCCATCAAGTGATAACAATTCACCATCACATCAGCTTTCACGTAGGAAGTAGAAGTTCAAGAGGAAGAACTTTCCTAAACTCATTGGGAAATACAAGAAACAAGATGGAAGCTGTGTTGTGTCCCCTTGAGACCTGCGGGGAGTGAAGGTTGACCCACGTAGCTGACACTGGCCTCAGTTCATGATCCACCTGCGTCTGTCTATCTTGCAAGTTCTGGGATTGCGGGGCATGTGCTAGCACACCTGGCTCTGAGGATGTTCTGTGCCGGCACAGTGAACCCTGCCCCACCCAGACCTTCACCTTAGCTTCCGTAGTTGGCTAGTGGCGTTACTAAAGAGAAGAGGCTCTGTTTCCAGCACAGGCACCCGGGTTCGAGCCCCGTCTCCCTCAGAGAGCCGAGGTGTGCTTGTGTGATACTGCCGTTCATCTGCCATTCATTTCAAATCCAGAGATGTTGGTCATTTGGGGGCCATCAGTTAAAGGAGTTCAGAGTTAATACTCTTAAAGCTATAAGAATCCCTCCCTGTTAGGAGATGGGAAATGAGATTATTAAAATGATGCAGATGTATATTCAGCATGAGAGAAGAGGCCAATGGTGTTCATTGCAGTCACCACCGCTGGAAGGAACAAGAGATTAGCCCACGTTAACTTCATCTCTTTGCAGCTTGAATTTGAAATCTACACTTTTTTTCTAGAAATAAGTTACACTTAATTGCATAAAAATGCAGCCTGTCTCTTGGAAGCCCAAAGGTGGGGGTTGGAGTTGGAGCAATGCACATAATATGTTACCGCTGCCTACAGGTGTTGGCGGAGGCTGCTCCTTCGTTCCTGGCCTCCCAGAACCAAAATAACCACACCAAAACTATATTATTTGCAATACTGTTTGGCCAATAGCTTAAGCATATTTTTAGCTAGCTCTTATACCCTAAACTAACCCATCTCCATTAATCTGTGCATTACCACCAGGTCATGTCCTACCTGCAAAGTTCCGCGAGCTCCAGCGGGGGCGTCTGTCTCCTGCAGCAGCTGGCTACATGGCTTCTCCCTTACTCTCTCTCTACATCTCTGTTCAGATTTCCCGCCTGGCTTTACTCTGCTAAGTCATTTGGCCGGACCAATTTTATTCAGTAACCAATAAAAGCCAAACACACACAAAGGGACTTCCTCCCACAACATACAGGCAATTTCCTCTTTACTGAGGTAAAGCTACCTTCCAAATCTGTCCTGCCTTCTACTTCTAGGCCCTGGGTCTCATTTAAAAGCAGTCAAGTACATATATGTATATATTAGAGAACACCAAGGAACACACACCATGGCCAAGTACATATATGTATATATTAGTGTATATATTAGAGAACAAAGGGGCACCCACACCACGGTCAAGTACATATATGTATATATTAGAGAACACCAGGGCATCCACACCCAGTCAGGTACATATATGTATATATTCGAGAACACCGGGGCACCCACGCTTCAGTCACTCGTCCGGGGAAATGTCCCTTTGGTAGGTGCCTGCAAGCTCCGGTTCTAGTGGCCTTTCTGGAAATGCCCTCCTCACTTCTCACCTTTTGGAATGAGAAGGTAGAAACGCAGCTTAGTCTGAACTCCAGCGTTTAGAAGCCCCAGCAAACTGACTCTCAATTGATTTCTTAGTGATTTTCCCTAAGAATAACAATGAAATGGTTACTTGACTCACAAATGTGGCATCAGAGACCCCTGCTTGGTTTCAGTCCAAACAGAAAACACTCACCACCCACGAAGCAAACATAGACGAGAGGGATCGATGTGTCCAGCTCTGCTTCTGAGCATATGGTTGAGAAAGTCAGAGGCCACTCACAGCCTCCACAGCACCTAACCCCAACCCTCTGGACACGGTTTTCTTTGATGAATTCATCTTTCTCTCTCCTCCACTGAACAGCGCTCCCTGATCTTGGTGGCCATAACCAACTGAAGCCCATCAGGGTGCCTCATCACCTAACAGATCCAAAGCTTAAGCTGGAGCTCCAGAAAGGTCCTTGGGCTTCGGAAGACCTGGTGTGATGAAGAGCCGCTGTGTGGAACACGAGGATGAAGTCCAAACCATCAAAGACCAGAGTACAGGAGAAACGGAGGGACCCTATGTGCCCACTGGGTCCTTGCCCCTGGTTCCTGGCGGAGATCCTAAATGCTGTACCTTCCTATAGCAACTTTCTTTTCTACTGTTTTATCTTTGATCCTAGTTCCTGACTCAAGCCCCCTAAATTCCAGAGAATTTCCTGGGCAGTAAGAGTTTCCTTTACTATAATGAGGGGTGTCATGCTGAGCACCTGGAGAGCTTCAGGATGGGGGTGCTCACCAGAAAGGCCATGTCTAGTTAGCAGCCTGCTCCCCCTCTGGGAAAAAGAGGGGGCTGGAGACATGCCTACATGGTGAATCATCTGTGGGACCCCAAGTGAAGGGCTTGACAAGCTTCCTGACTGGAGAACACCTCCACATGGTCCAGCCGCATAGGACTCCCCCCAACACCCTAGGACTTAACTGTGTGTGCTTTTATGTTCCCCTGTATCCTCTCTAACATCCCTCACAATAAATTTAAGTCTGTGAATTCTGTGAGCTATTCTAGAAAAATATTGAAAGTCAGGAACAGTACCATACGTTTGTAGTCCTAGCTACTCAATGGGCGAAGGTAAGGTGGTCTGCTTGAGCACAGAAGTTCAAGACGAGCCGGGGAAACACAGCTACACTTCACATGGTTTTCCCGTCCTGGGGAGGCTGAGCAGGAAATAGATCATCATGAGACTGAGGTCAGCATGGGCCACAGAGTGACCTAAGCCAGCCTGTACTGCAGAATGAGATGAGAAAGTAGGGAGGGAGGAAAAGAAGAAGAGGAAGGAGAGAGAGAGGGGTTGAGGAGGAAGGAAGGAAAGGGGGAAGGAGAGAGGAAAGGGAGAAGGGATGAAGGAAAAGAAAAGAAACCATCCACATGGTGGCATGTGCCTGTAATTACAGAATTATAGAGCCCGGAGAGGCTGGGTTAGGAACACATCACATTCGAGGGAAGCCTTGGCTACACTGTTGAGACCCTGGGGTCTCAAAGGGGAAGAAAGGGAAGGGAAGGAGGGAGGGAAGAAAGAAAAACTACCTAAGGGTGTCAGGAGTGGGGATCCTGGGACTTGGCGCTGTCACCTAGTGTGGGGGCCTCCTGTGAGCCTGTGCTAATTGTAGGCAGTTAGTGTCAGAACTGGGGTTAAACTGCTGGGCAGAGAGCTGGTGGCTGGACAAACAGCTGGTCATTGGTATTCGAAGACACACCCTCTGGGCCACTACAACTTCTGAAGGAAGCTTCCTGCATAGCCGGCCATTTAAACAAGGATTTGCGGTCTCCTGCAGCGTGAAGCATGCTGTCAGAGCAGAACCAGCTTTCTAGGACAAGTCTGGTCACCCAGGGTGCAACAGTTGGGCATGACAGCACACACCTGCAATCCCACCCCTAGTCTGAAGCAAACCTGCGCTACATAGTGTGGTCCTCCTTACAACACAAACTCAGCTAACAAGAAAATTGGGCCTCTCTCAGTTCAAGCCCCCAGTAGACCTGCTCTCCACCAGTTCAGTGATGACTGCCCTCGCTGGCCTGCTGCAAACAAGCCAGGGCAAGCGGAGCTGACCTCCACCAGCTGCCTAGATCCTGTCTCTGCCCCAGTGGTGGACAGAGCTGTTCTGGAAACAGTGACCCAGGTCCCACACAGACCCCCACATACCCACTGTCCATAGTGCTCACCCTCAGCGAGTGCTGTTTTCTCTCCCAGACCGTTTTATTAACAATAAATCAGTTAGTTTGCAAGAAAACAAAACAAGCAAACAAAAATGCTCACAGTGGCTCAGGCCTTTAATCCCAGCACTCAGGAGGTAGAGGCAGGTGGATCTCTGTGAGTTTGAGGTCAGCCTGGTCTACAGAGTGAATTCCAGGATAGCCAGAGCTGTCATGCAAAGAAATTTTGTTTTCAAAAACAAGGAAGTAAAAAAAAATATGGGACTTCTGAATCCCCTCTGGAGGTGCCTTGAGCATGGGAAGCAAGGGTGGTAGAAGAAGACAACCATCGAGACTAACACCTAAAGTACCATGTCTATCAGAAGAAGCGTGAGGAGGGGCATGGCTCGTCTGTACTGCTCTCACAGAGCACCAGAGGCTGGGCCACTCGTGTGACAGATATCAGCCCATGGCTGGAGGGTAAGGACTCCAAAACCAAGGCACAGGCACCTGGCAGTATCCTCTTGGCCATGGCTTCCAGCCCTGACGGCAGAGGAGCAATGCAATAGTGCAAGCCCGGAGCCCTCAGGCCTCAGCACCTCCCCACGCTCAGTGCTATGGCGCTGTCAGTTACGGTTCCAACAGCTGGCTCTTGTGAAATGTATTCGCACAATCATGGTCATTAACAAGTGACATGTCTAACACAGAATGAAGAGGCGCTGTAATATACTGTCTGCGTCTCTGTCTGTGTGTCTTTGTGTGTTTAAATCTCCAGGCCCTTGCCCAGCTCGAGAATGGTCCTGTGGTACAGGCTCTGAACTACAGACATAGTACCGAACTACAGACATAGTACCGTAGTACAGGTAATAGTATGGATGATACAAGTGGAGGTCCCACAGAGATCAGGAACTAGGGACAAGCTGAGAGATCGCCCTCGGGAATGGTGAGGGTGGATTGAAGATGGTATGTGTGTTATGTGTATTTTCACCCCAGACTCCTGCCTGATAGTGGTTCTGGGTGGTGCAGGCACCGCAACAGGAGGCACCGTGGAGATGGGGAACTAGAGACTCTCTGAAGGACACCTCTGGAAAGCTGGCCAGCAGGAAAGTAATAAACAGGAGGCAAGAGGGTAAACTGAAGGCCTCAAACGGAATGGAAGAAAAGGAGTAAGTTTAAAAGAGACAGCGTATAGACAGATTAAAAGGAGTATGTGTTTCTTCATCCCCAGAGACATTCTGAGAGATGCCCTCCAGAAGGCTGGCCAGTAGGGAAGTAATAAAGAGGAGACAGGAGGGTGAATTGAAGGCCTCAGAACGAAAGAATATGTACAGATGTATGTTATTGTGTTGATTGTGTTATAAGGGGACCCGGATCCTTTGTCCCCTAGGGAACTTACCCCCACAGCTAAAAAAGCTTTGATTGATGCCCTTCCCAGTTTGGAAATGGATCGTCAATCGCCGGGAGCTGAAAATAAATTGCACAACTGGAAGGAATTTTTCCATCTGCTTTTACTGTCATCCTTCCTTTTGTGACATGGAGTGGGTTGGGCTCTAACCAGGAGGGGAGTCTTAATTGTTCTTTCAGCAATTGTACCACAGAAGACAGTGCCCTCCTTGTGAGGATTCCTGCTGCCATGCCTGGCCAGCTAAGGAGGAAGCTTAATAGGGCACACCCCTGTTGTACAGTATCGGCAGAAGAGGGACCTTGGAATCACCGCAACCATGGTTGCCATTATTGCCATCTCTGCAACCGCAGCTACTGCTGCCGGATTTGCTCTCTCCCAGACTATGCAAAGAACTGGGACTGTTAGACAGCTGGCTGAAAAAGTCAGCAATGCTTTGGACATTCAAAATGGACATATTCAATTGGTTGAACCAACAAGTGGCTCTAGTTCAGGAGCAAGTGGACTATCTTTGGACTTTTCAACAGTTAATCATGTTATGTGCTTTACTCCTGGCACTGTATTGCATGCTTCTGCTACTGTTATGGAACTCAACCATCATATGAGAGGGGTTTGGGATACTGCTTTTGTTAATTTTACCACCAAGTTAGTGCATGCTATTCAGGCCCTAAATTCCGCCCAGGTTGAGCCTGCCCAAGACAATGATTAATGGGCCTGGATGGCTAAAGTAGAGGGATGGTAGCAGCACTGGTCTGGCTCATTGGCGCTGTCAGTCCTGGGGATACTTGGTTTAGGGGATCCTCTGTCGGCTCTGCCGCCAGTGTCAGAATCAGATGGGTGCCACCCGACAGGCACTCCTAGCGATGGTTGCACAGCCTGAATCCACACAAGTTTGGCGGCAGATGCTGGATAAGCGGTAGCCACGGATGGGCAATACCTTAAGGGCAGGATGCCACCTAAGACAGGGAATATTAGAGGGCTATTCCCTATGATGGGCAAGGTATTCCACCCAAAGTAACCTAAGATAGGCACCGTTTATTTGATAAAATAAAAAGGGAGGAGTTGTGATCTCGCTGCCCTCACTCCCCCTGACCGACAGCTAAACTTCCTTGTAATCAACAAAGATGTTTGTGCGCTTTCTGGCTGGTGGTTTTCTGCAGAAGTGTTCCCAGTATAGGATGCCCTGATCTTGACCTCTGACTACTCAGCATGTCTCCGGCCAGCTGCCTAAAGGTATAAAGGGCTCTAGCTCAGGGCAAAATAAAGGTTGCTCTTCCTCCCTGCACTAAAGCCTCCACATCTCAATCCCGGCACCACCCCCCCCCACACCAGTTTCAGTATCCAACCGGTGCTGGCGTGGCACTGTAACGTTGGTTTTGTTCTTATTTTATGTGTATGAGGGTTTTGCCTGCATGCTTACCTATACGATCTGTGTACTTAGTGTCATCGAATCCACTGAAGTTGCAGGTGCTTGTGAGCTGCCATTTGGGTAAGGAGAGCCAGACCTGGGTCCTCAGGAAGAGCAGCAGTGCTCTTCATTGCTGAGTCATCTCTCCAGCTCATAAAGTACTTTTCAAAGATACAAGAATATATTAATCCAAAGAAAGTGATCACATTTACATAAATAGCAGGTGTAAAAAGCACTGGGTTCACAAAAAGGTATAACAATTCTAAACGCACTATATTTCCGTGTGTACACATATGCATGCTTGTATCTGTGCAGTTTCCTGTGTGTGTGTTTTTGCATTTACACGCTGTCAGTAAGCACAGCAAAACCAACTATACCACCCCTTCGGGAGAAAATCAGTTTATTGGGAGACAAAGTGTTTTGGCCGGGCTGTCCCACAAGAGCAGAGAGAGAGCGCTGCAGTCCAGAAGGAAAGCAAATGGGTTTTATATGGTAGTCAGCAAGATGGGGGACTTTGAGCTGATACGGCTGTTGTCGTTAATTGGGAGTTAGATGCACTTTCCTCAATGTAGGTGACCTAGGTATGGAGAAGGGAAGTAGTGGCTTTATTGGCAAACAGTAACCTACATCATGAGGTTTCTGAGTTTATGTTTCTGTTTACCCAATAAGAAACTGGCCTGGGTTGGGCCAGGGCCATCATTTGGGACATTGTCAGCAGCACTGCCATTTGGGGGTCTGCTTTATGACCTAACACACACATGTGTGCAAGCTTGTGGAGGCCAACGGATAAACTTGCCTGTCATTCCTCATGTGCTGTCCAACTTGGTTTTGAGACAGGTCTCTCAGAGACCAAACAGACTAGGCTGGCCAGCCTGCAGGCTCCAAGGGTCATTCATCTCTGCCTCTCTGAGCGCTGCTGTTACAAGCGGCCACCACAAGCCAAGTCTCCATGTATCAAACTCAGATCTGCTCATCAAACTAAACCCCTGGTCACTAAGTGTGTAAGCGTTTAATAGTGACTGCAAAGCATGCAGAATGGAGTGCAGAATTATTACAAAGCACAGACAAACACAACTGCAGCATGGAATACGAACATCTCTGAGTATGTAGTAGATCAAGCACACACACAAAGGACACAGAACATACAAATGACCCAATAATCATGAAATCAGTAGTGCTTACTATTGTAGGACCTGGGCCATGGACGGAGACCATCCAATGAAGGGATCCTAGGGACAGTCCAGACCATCTTAAAGGAGTGGAAGCGTGCAAACAATATTTTCTGAGCAAAACTGAAATCATAACGGAAAGAATTCCCTCCAGGAACGAAGACATATAGATGATTGCAAAATCAAGGAATAAATCATAATGAGCGTTTTAAATATGAAAAACAAAACATTCACAAAACACCCCATTTCAAAATGAGTTTCACACAACTTAAAGAGTTAAAAAGAATAACGTAATAATTCCAAATAAAGCAGAGAGGAGCCAAGCATACCAATCCCATTGTCCAGGTCAGCACTCAGCAGCTGGGGCGAGAGGCTCACAGTGAGTTTGAAAACAACCTGGGCTTCAAAGCCAATTCAAGGTCAACCTGGGGAAAAAGGAAAATGAACAGATAGAGACAAGAGCAAAGATAATATTATATTATATAACATCTTAAAAAGCCTGATGTTGATCCTTTGGAAAGACAGTAAAAACAATAAACCTCTAGCTGAATTGAAAACAGAAAAAAGTGAGTAAGTGATACAATGGGGGCGGAGCTCTGGAGACAAGATGCCCTCAAAGCCAGGTATGTGGGCTCCCACCTACCACTTGGGAGGCTGAGAAAGGAGAATCAGGAGTTCCGCGCCAGCCTCAGCTACACAGTGAAGTTGAGACCAGCCTGAACTAGATGAAATCCTGGATTTGAAAAACTAAAACTGGGCGATGGTGGCGCACACCTTTAATCCCAGCTCTCAGGAGGCAGAGGCAGGTGGATCTCTGTGAATTCCAGGCCAGCCTGGTCTACTTGAGGGAGTTCTGGAACAGTCACAGCATGACACAGAGAAACCCTGTCTGGAGAAACAAAAACAAATAAAAAAAGAAAACAAAATAAAACGAAAACAAAACCGCCCTGTAAGCACGCCGTCTTGCAGCTTGCTTCCTGCTGATCTTCGCCATCTTCTGTGCCTCCAGTCCATCCCGCTAAGGCAATGGACGAATTCCCTGACCAGGTCACTGGCCTCTGATGCTGCAGCACTGGAAATGAAGCCTTCAACACATGAGCTTTCAGGGAGCACTTCCCATCAAACCACAGACTGCTCTCTGGCACTTTTTTCTATGTCTGCTATACTTAGTGTTTAAACGACCTTTGGTGCGGTGTAGCAGGGCGCCAGAGGACACAAGGACATCTGAGGGGCATAGGAAAGATGGTCTGGATATGCATGGAAGCGGGGTGAAGTCCAAAGATCACTCCTGGAGGCCTTTGATGCCATTTGGACCCTAGAAACAAAAGTCATCCCCCTAAATGACAGCCATTTTGAGGTAAGCACAGGGATTTATCCCTGAGAACTTTGACCTTGAGCGTTTGTCAAGGTCCTGGAACCTGGGAACAAGGGACTTGGGAGAATGTGCCCTGTGCTGCCGAGAGTGCACTGAATCAGGAACAGAAAAAATGAGCTGCGCCCGACGTGGTGGATACTAGCTGGCGGCATCCCTCCCACCTGCAAAACAAAAAAAGTCGAGGGGTGGCCAAGAAGATTAAATGCAGCAGCTGAGGTCACGTCCCGGGGGGGGGGGGGCTTGGCTTGTGCCTGTTGGTGTTCCTCAGCCCCTGCCTCTTTGCTTTTACACACCGATGTACCTAGTACTTGCCGCACCTGCTGCTGTTGATTGTCAGCAGGGACAAGAAAAGCCGGAAGTCCCACAGCATCCCAGGGCTGAGCGGCAAGCTGGACTCTTAGCTAGGCTCACATTTGCGGCTTGGGAGCCTCACATATCAGCAAAAGAGGCTTCTCTGCCTCCTCCATTCTGACAATCCTCCCAGTAATCAAAAGGTCGTTAGGACTGGCAAATGTTTCCTCCCCATCTGATTTCACAGAGATCGGCATTTCTCAAAGAACATTTAAAAGAGAAGCCCGGCACTTGGGAAACCTTGGCAGGAAGGCCCCCCCCCCCTCCCCGGCCACCAGCAGAGAAGGCGGCCTAAGAGGTGGCGTCCCTGGGAACTGCCCGCGCCTTCGACCTAGGCTGCCCCTCAGCTAATACAGCTGGAGTCCTCAGGCCCACCGGTCACCTAGATGACCAGGCTGCTGGGCAGCACAGAGACTTAACTTCCCCATGGGCCTCTCTAGCCAGGTCTGGGACTTGTGCCTTCCTTCTCAGTCCCAAGTGGGGGGCGGGGGGGGGGAACAAGAGCCTCTTCACAGTGCATCCAGTTTCCAGCAGCCAGCCCTTGGCTCTTACCAGAAGCACTACAATGTTTCTGGCTAGATTAATTATAAATCGTCATCTTTCTGTTTTCCTGCTTATGCTAATTTTCCTTCAACACGTCTGCCTTCCTGGAATAAAGAAAACAACAGTCCAGAGTTCCAGTTATTTAACCTTGAATTCTTTCTTTTTATTGATTTTTATTGAGCTCTACATTTTTCTCTGCTCTCCTCACTGCCTCTCTCCTCCCCTCGAATCCTCCCCCAAGATCTCCATGCTCCCAATTTATTCAGGAGATCTTGTCTTTTTATACTTCCCATGTAGATGAGATCTATGAATGTTTCTCTTAGTATCCGCATTGTTGTCTAAATTCTCTGGGATTGTGGTTTGTAGGCTGATTTTCTTTGCTTTATGTTTAAAAACCACCTATGAGTGAGTACATGTGATAATTGCCTTTCTGTGTCTGGGTTACCTCACTCAAAATAATGTTTTCTAGCTCTATCCATTTTCCTGCAAAATTTGAGATGTCTTTTTTTTTCTGCTGTGTAGTACTCCATTGTGTAAATGTACCACATTTTCCTTATCCATTCTTCAGTCGAGGGGCATTTAGGTTGTTTCCAGGTTCTGGCTATGACAAACAAAGCTGCTATGAACATAATTGAGCACATGTCCTTGTGACACGATTGAGCATCCTTTGGATATATACCCAAAAATGGGATTACTGGGTCTTGAGGAAGGTTGTTTCCTAATTTTCTAAGAAATCACCACGCTGAAATCCAAATGGGTTGTACCAGCTTGCATTCCCACCAGCAATGCAGAAGTGTTCTCTTTTCCCCACAACCTCTCCAGCATAAGTTGTCATCAGTGTTTTTGAGCTTGGTCATTCTTACAGGTAAGAATGGAATCTCAGAGTTGTTTTGATTTGCATTTCTCTGATAACTAAGGATGTTGAAAATTTCCTGTTGTAAGGAGCGGTGGGCTGCGTCCCACCCAGCTCTGCACAGCTAGCTTTACCCGAAATAATTACACAGAAACTGTATTCTTTTAAACACTGCCTGGCCCATTTGTTCCAGCCTCTTATTGGCTAATTCTCACATCTTGCTTTAACCCATATCATTCTGGTTTAGCTTGGCAGCCCATGTAATGAAATGTCTCTCTGTACTTAGCTTCTTCACAGTCAAAAATTTTAAAGAAAACACAATGTACATAATCCAGACTCTGTGAATTTTCCATTTTTACGTGGCTTATTTTTCTTTATTTCTTTTAATCTATAACTATCTGTACTCTGTCTCTTTAAAGACTTTACCCTTTTTTAACATTAACTTTATTTTCTATATTCTTTTTCTTCTCTCTCCCAAGCCTACATACACTCATCCAACATTGTGACCCACAGAGGTCTTTTATGTCTGAATCTGTCCTATTGTGAATCTGTAATTTTTTTACTATCCAGGAGCATTTCTTAAAATGTTAAGCATTTCTTAAAAACTTAAATTGCACCATGTAGGGGTAATACAGTACTGCCTGTTTACTGCCAGTCTAAACCCTAATTGCGCTGTTATTATGGTAATTATGATGGTTCCTGCCTGAAGTCAGCACAGTTCAGCATGGAGCAGGCACTCCAGCCTCAAATCCATTTGGTGCCCCTGAGCTGCACACAGTTCCAGGCACATAGCAAGTCCACATTGGAGCCATAGTCAGCAGTTTAATTCTGAGACTGAGCATGCAGCACAGAAACTCTTTTCATCCAAGTTACAGCCAAATCTGACACGCAGAGCACTGCGCAGTCTGAAAACACCTCTCTGTATGGCAGCAGGAATCCGCCATGTTCTCCTGCTTGACCAAGTCTGATTCTGCCTTCTGCCCAGGCAGGAAAAGCTGAGCCATTGGCACTCTCAGAGCACTCTCTTCCAATCCTGAGCAGGTACACAAATATCCAGTCCCATAAAAGCCATTGAAATGCTTTAAAGCCAGAGCTTGCACTGGAGGCACAGCCCAGGAAGCCACGCTTTAAAATGATGCAGAGTTTTTTTCCTGCTGCTATTGCTGAATCAGGAAATCTCTCTACAGCACGTCCTAGAAAACAGCAAAATCTGTTAAACTCTTTTTCCCTTATTTCTAAGCCTTCTCAGGTTTTTAAGTGGATTTAGTTACTACATTGGGTGCCACTCTGTTGTATGGAGCGGCAGGCTGTGTTCCTGCCGCCCCAGCTCCCGGCTGCCTGGCTAGCTTATGCCCCCAAATAATTACACGGAAACTGTATTCTTTTAAACACTGCCTGGCCCATTAGTTCCAGCCTCTTATTGGCTAATTCTCACATCTTGCTTTAACCCATATTTAATAATCTGTGTAGCACCATGAGGTATGGCTTACCAGGAAAGATCTTACCTGCGTCTGTGTCGGATGGGAGAATCATGGCGACTATCTGACTCAGCTTCTTTCTCCCAGCATTCTGTCTGTCTACTCCACCTACCTAACTTTCTGTCCTATTAAAGGGCCAAGGCAGTTTCTTTATTTAAGCAATGAAATCAACACAAAACAGATGACTCTCCACCATCAATTTCCTTCAGAGTCTTCCAGCCATTTTAGATTCCTTTGTTGAGAGATCTATGTTTAGGTCTGTACTCCATTTTTTTAGTGGATTATTTTTTCTTGAGTTCTTTGTGTATTTTGGAGGTCAGACCTCTGTCTGATGTGGGGTTAGTGAAGATCTTTTCCCATTCTGTAGGCTGTCGTTTTGTCTTGTTGACCATGTCCTTTGCTTTACAGAAGCCTTTCAGTTTCAGGAGGTCCCATTTGTTCATTGTTTCTCTCAGTGTCTGTGCTGATGGGGTTATGTTTAGGAAGTGGTTCCCTGTGCCAATGTGTTCAAGTGTACTTCCCACTTTCTCTTCTATAAGGTTCAGTGTGGCTGGCTTTATGTTGAGGTCTTTGTTCCATTTGGACTTGAGTTTTGTGCATGGTGATAGATATGGGTCTATTGTCATTCTTCCACATGTTGCTATCCAGTTACGTCAGCAATGCTTGTTAAATATGCTTTCTTTTCTCCATTTGATATTTTTTTGCTTCTTTGTCA